GGAGGGTCTTGAACCCTCAGATTCAGGCAATCCACTCACCTCGGCCTCCCAAAACACTGGGATTACAGGCTGAGCCACCGAGCCCGGCAGTAGCTTCTCTATTAAGGTTTGTTGAGCATATGGTTTATGGAACTGGCCAGGGAAGCAGCGATATGCACTCTTTTGCATGTGACTTCTCCCACTTGCTGAAAATAAGCTTATGGCATTGGCCCTGGGGCTGGCATGCCATCTTTTCCCCGAATCACCTTTGGCATAATTCTCAAAAACATAAGCCCATGGCTACTTTGGAAAACCATTTTGAATTACCTAGTAAAGTTGACCAGGTGCACACTCCACAGTAGAGAAATTTCATTCCTGGAAATGTACCTTAAGAAACTCTTGCACATCTGCACCTGCAAGAGAGGACCTGCAAGAATGTTCTAGAGTAGTTACAAACTGGAAATAACCCTGATGTCCATCAGCAGTAGAATGGATAATTAAATTGTAGTATTTCCACACAGTGGACTACAATACAAGAAAAAAATTGAACAAATGATAGTCTTGTTCATGAACATGAACAAATCTTTCAAAACCATACAATAATGAGCCAAAGAAGCAAGGCACAGAAGAATATACATAGGAAGAGTCCAACTGTAGAAAGTTTAATATCAGGCAACCTAAGCAAGATTGTTTAGGGATACATCCAATGGCAGGAAGCCATCAAGAGAGGTAAGGGGAAGGTTATCACTAAATTCAGGATGGTGGTTTTCCTGGGGAGAATATGTCAAGGCGAGCACATGGGCATCAAAGGTATCTGGAATATTCTCTTCAACACTAGGTGCTGGTACACAGAAGTTTGATTGATTGATTTATTTTTGAGTTGGAGTCTCATTCTGTTGCCCAGGTTGGGGTGCAGTGGCACAAACACAGCTCACTGCAGCCTTGATCTCCTGGGCTGAAGAGAGCCATCCTCAGTCTCCTGAGTAGCTGGGACTACAGGTGCACACCACCACGCCCAGCTAATTTTTGTGTGTGTGGCGATCTTACTATGTTGCCCAGGCTGGTCTTGAGCTCCTGGGCTCAAGCAATCTTCCCACCTCGGTCTCCCAGAGTGCTGGGATTATGGGTGTGAGCTGACACACCTGGCCTGTTTTATTATTTTTTTACATGGCAATGTATATATCACATACCCTCTCATATATACTATCCATTTTACACAAGAACTCAAAGGATGTGCCACCCTACTCTGCCCCTTCTCCATCTAGCCCTCATTCTCGTCCTCTGGCAGAAGAGGAGCCAGGGGCCCTTATTGTAGCTTCTTTCTGTTTCTGAGTAAATCAGAGGAGTGTGGGGGTAAGGGCCTCCCTCCTGCAGCTGGGCCTGGCTACTCCAGGGTGGGAAGGCCTAGGGAAAGCAGGGCCAGGCGAAGCCGGCTGGCTGGCCCTGCTGTTTCTGCCAATGCTGGGGATTAGGCCAGGGCTCTGGCCCACCTGTCATTTCACTCATTCAGCATGCACATAACCACTGAGTGCTTACTGCGAGCCTTGGGTGCTGTTGGGAGAGTTCAGATAAGTGAGAGATAGCCTTTGACCTCTGAGGTTTTACAATATACTCAGGACTACACACACAAATAACCACATATGAGCTAAGTGTCACATGACTACTCATCTACTCTTTCAGTAAACATTTGTTGAGCACCTATTACATACCAGGAACTGTGCAGGATGATGATCATACAAATACAGTTAAATCACCATCCTGGTCCTCAAGTTTTTCTAGCCTAATGTGGGAGAAACAGACACGTCAAATAAATACAACGGTGTGGCAGGACCATTGACATATACCCAGGGAGGAGGAGGAAGGGGACCCATCCAGGCTGGATGGGGTGGATACAGAGGAGTGGGGAAAGATTGGAGAAGGGAGGTCTTCCTGAAGGCAGCAGACCCTGGACTGAGGATAAGAGATGAGAAAGCAAGAGAAAGGTGAAGGGCTGGAAGGACTCTGGGCAGAGGGACCAGCTGGGGCAAAGGCACAGGGGTGAGAAACACGGCCATGAGGACCACGTGCAACAAGGCTTAGCAGGGAGGAAGGGCAGGAGGGTGGGGAGCAGCAGAAGGGGAAGGCCCAGGTGGATCAGAGCCTTATTTGCCTTGCAAAACCTCTCATGGATAGGTGCTGGGAGCCACTGAAGGATTGAGGGAGCTTGATAGCTCATTCAGGCTCAGTAGAGGGGAAGGGTTGAGGTATGTGGACTGGAAGAAGAAAGGCAAGTTGGCAGGATGTTGCCGGTCCAAGAAATATTTAGGAGATACCAGGCTAGCTTCTATCTGAGACCAGGTGGGTGGTGGGTGAGGGAGAGGCCAAATTCTGGAATGACTCCCTGCGAGAGTAGCCAGGTGGAGTGCACAGGGAGAGAGCTCCCACCCAGCACTAGTGTGGCTCTGGGCTCTGGGCACTGAGTGTAGGCAGAGGCCAGGGGCAGCCCGGAATGTGGATGGGGCTCTGTACCATCTGATCCCAGGGGTACCAAATGCTGACCTGTGAAGGGTGGGGGAGCATCAAATGTATGCACTTTAAAGAACTGTCCTTAAGTGTCTACAGTTAAATCAATAAGTAAGCATATCATGTAAAGGCATTAAATGAATTACCAAGAAAAACCCTTAAACACTCAGAAGTGTAGCTGGGCGTGGGGGAGTGGTGGTGCATGCCTGTAGTTCTAGCCACATGGGAGGCTGAGGCGGGAGGATCAGTTGAGTCCAGGAGTTCCAGGCTGCAGTGAGATATGATTGCACACAGCCTTCTGGCTTAGGTGACAAAATGAGACCCTGTCTCTAAAAAGAAAAAAAATTCAAAAATGGTTTCATCCTGGGAGTGGGAATGGGGGTGGGAGGGACTGGGGACAGGTTTTTTAAAAAATAAACCCTTTACAACTATAAGTTTTTAAAAAAACCATGAATGTAAAGCATATACAAAAATTTATTAAAGTAAAATATAAAAAATAAAAAAAATCGGCCTTTATTCTGAGTTTGTCCTTTTTACTTTTAACAGTTAGAAATGGTCTTTCTTGTATGAAATGATGGTAACAGAGGAAAGCCGATTTTTTCCCCTTCTCTTTGATGTCGTCATTTGATAAAACAAAATTACGTCGTCCTGAGACCCAGGCTGGGAGCTTTGGGGCCAGAGCCCCGAGGCAAATGCCCGAGAATGGCGGGCTGGCGCGCCTGCGGCTCCGCGGGCGGCCGGCAGGGGTCAGGCGAGCTCCATGCAGCGCCCGGGCTGGCCCCAGCTAGCCAGTGCCGCGCTCCGCCGAACACGCTGCCTCGAGGGACAGGGACAGAGGAGGATTCTGGACCTGCCCTAAGCTAGGGGTCGTGACGGACGGCCCCCTGGTCCTAGGTCCCAGCCTCCGCAGGGCAGGTGGTTAACTGTGCGCCCCTCCCCTGCCCCCATGCAGCGTTTACACCAGCTCTGGCCCCACCCCGCGTTCCTTCATTGCTGTGGGCAACTCGCCTTACCGACCTTCTGGAAGGGGGCCGTGCACGGCACCCGACTGTGCAAGGATCAGGGTGCTCATATGTCATGCTAGCTTGAGGGTCTTGAGAGGCTTACATAGGCGAGGGATTGTTATCACTAGATCCCTTGTTGTACAAGGTTGCTGTGCCTTAGAATCACCCCTCGGAATGTGATCAGGTCTGGGGCAGAACCCAGAAGTCTGCACTTCTTACAGCTTGCCAAATTCTGATAAGGGGTGTGCTCAGAGCACACCCCTAGCTTCTGTTGCCCTCCCACAGGGCAGGCAGTGTCAACAGCCGCGCATTGGGCTGACCATGTGACCTGCCTACAATTGCGGTGGACTTAGGCAGCTGCAGAAAGCAGTGCAGGCAGCTGAAGTTGTAGGCTTGCATTAGACAACCAAAAATGCTCACCAGAACCAGAGTAGAGGTGCCCCCTGCTTTTCCACTCATCACCCAGGCCACACAGTATGTTTTTTCTTTGGTTTTATTGTTAAACATTTTTTAAATGTCATATACAGAATCAAAACAACCGCTTTCTTCCCAAGTTGGCAGGGCTCAGACAGCCAACACCGACTGGATGAAGCAGCCCGTTCGGTCACACGGCGTCTCCAGGCTAGTGGTTCCAGCTACACACTAACGCAGCACCATCACCTTTTAGCCACATTCATCTCCAACATGGCAGGAGGCAGGACAGAGAGATGAGGGAACAGCCCATGAGCCCTGGATCCTCCACCCAGGATGGGATAGGACAGGGTTGGTGAGGACCTAACCCCACCTGTCTCAAGCCTCAAGCTGGGAATAGCACTCGGCCACAGGCCAGGACCAACAGCCAGGACAGGTGCTGCAGGGCTGAGAGCCAGGACAACCAGTTCCCTCTTTTAGGAACTTGGATGAGGCGGAACTACCCAGACCTGTTCCATTCTCAGACCATGCTCCTCCATCTATGTAGCTATGCAGTGGGGCCCCAGGCTGGAATTTTCAGAACACAACCCAGTTTGCTACTAGTAGATCTAGATTCTCATTCCAATTTGACCTTGAGAAAGAAAGTCAAATTCTCATGACATTTTTAAAAGCGTAGGGGTGGCTTCCAGAAATTTATGGGCTTCCTTTAAGCTCTGAGATCCTACCACTCTGGGCTCCCTCCTTCCTTTAAAAAGCACTGGGCCATCTGGGAAAGGGAGGCTGAAACCTCCTCTATTCTGAGGCTTGATTCTACCCTCTTGCCCTCCTTTACCAAAAAGTTGGAGTAGGACCTGGGCCGGCCACTCTCCAAGGATACGGGCTGGATCCAAACAGGAGGCAGCAGCAAGTAGACTGCTTCTCCCCAGCAACACTGGTTGAGAAGCAGTTGGGTTTTCTTTACAACGTTTAATACAAAATGGCAGCAGCCGCTGTGCGGTTGTAACAAAATTAGCCATAGGGTATCTAGAGAAACTACAGACAGCCTCAGCTAGAGTCGGGCCAGCCAAACCAGGCCTGGTCAGCAGGGCCTGTGCGTGCTGCCCAGTCACCTGTGGCTGGTCACACGGTCAGGAGTGGACGGTGCCCGTGGCAGGGTGGCGCAGAAGGGTTCAGAGGCCCCGCTGAGGAAGAGCTGACCCTTCAAGAGAAGACAAGCACGCTACCTTCTCCTCCTCCTCGGACTCTGGACACCTCATGAGTTCATAAGCTGCTGGGAGTCGATACCTCTGGAAACCCGCAGAAACAAGGGCAAGGTGTTTTACTTTTTTCCCCAGAAAAGAGACTACAGGTTGAGTATCCCTTGCTTGGGTCCAGAAGTGTGTCAAGTTTCAGATTTGGGATTAGGGATACTCAGCCTTTACCTAGTTCTAGTAAATGGTGGGGGCAATGCTTCTGTTGTACTTGAGCAGAGAGAGCTTCCTGCCAGAGGCACAACCAAGAGAAAGAGGTGGGCGCCTGCATGCCCCCAGGTGTCCACTCTGTGGGGGGGGGAATGCAAGCTCGAAAGTTAGAAAGCAAGGGTCCTGTCATCACCAAAGTCTGTCCCAACAATCCCCAGAAAGGCCAACATGCTGCCTGCTGAGTCTGTTTTATACTACAGAACACTGTCCTGGCTGGCTGGCCTGGCTGTGAGGCCACGGCGCTTGGCAGCCATTGTGGAGAACTCAGCCCCGTGCAGAGGCCGAGAGGACTGATGCGAGAAGAGCAGCTGAGCAGCCCGGCCTGCCATGGGCAGCGTAGGAGAGCGGCCACATCTCTACTTGCAAAGAAAGGCCTCTAGGTGCTGGGAAGAGGATGAAGGGTCTCGGGCTATGGAAAGTCTGCGTTGAAGGCTCTGCCGATGACCAGTCGCCTCACCTCACTGGTCCCAGCCCCAATCTCATATAGCTTGGCATCTCGAAGAAAGCGGCCCATGGGAAAGTCATTGATGTAGCCATTGCCACCTGCAACCAGGGTTTGGGCAGAGAAGGACAACAGAAGTGAGGGCAGTGGGCAAAGCAAAGAAAGTAAACAGAAGGCCAAGTGTACAGAAATAGGCCACAGGAGGAGGAGAGACTGATTAAAGAGAAGCAGCCAAATGTAGTGAGAGGACTTGGGGAATACAGTAGCCCTTCTTATCCTCTGGGGATGTGTTCCGAGACTTCCAGAGGAAGAGTGAAACAATGGATAGTATCGAACCCTATATCTATTGTGTTTTATTTTTAAAAATTTTTTTATTTTTTGAGTTGGAGTCTCACTCTATCACCCAGACTGGAGTACAGTGGCCGCTCCCAGCCACTGCAGCCTCAACCTGCTGGGCTCCGGCTATCCTTCCACTCAGCCTTCCAGGTAGCTGGAATTACAGGCGCGCGCTACCATGCCTGGCTAATTTTTTGATTTATTGTAGAGATGAGGTCTCGCCAAGTTGCCCAGGCGGGTTTTGAACCTGTGGGGTCAGGCAATCCACTCACCTTGGCCTCCCAAAGCACGGGATTACAGGGTGAGCCCCCAAGCCCGGCCGATACTGTGTTTGTTAAAAAAAAAAAAAAAAAAAAAAAAAAAAAAAATTTATAGACATCTCACCATGTTGCCCAGGCTGACCTTGAACTCCTGGGCTCAAGCAATCCTCCTGCCACAGCCTCCTAGAGTGCTGGCATTATAGGCATGAGCCACCATGCCCCTTCTATATACTGTTTTTTCTACACATACCTATTTATGATAACTTTTGGGGGTTTTTTGAGTCAGAGCCTCACTCTATCACCCAGGCTGGAGTTTAGTGGCACGCTCACGGCCACCGTGCCTTGACCTGCTGGGTTCAGGTGATCCTTCCACCTCAGACTTCTAACTACCTGGAACGCCAGGCTCAGTGTGCGCCACCACACCCAGCTAATTTTTCTTGATTAATTGTAGAGATGAGGTATTGCCAAGTTGCCCAGGCTGGTCTCAAACCCCTGGGCTCAGACAATCTTCTAACCTCTGCCTTCCGAAGTACTGGGATTACAGGTGTGAGCCACTGCACCCAGCTATGATAAAGTTTAATTTATTTTTATTCTATTTTATTTTGAGTTGGAGTCTCTCTGTCACTCAAACTGGAGTGCAGTGGCCGCTCCCGGCCACCACAGCCTTGACCTGCTGGGCTCCAGTGATCCTTCCGCCTCAGCCTTCCAAGTAGCTGGAACTACAAGCGCGCACTACCACGCCTGGCTAAGTTTTGATTTATTGTAGAGATGAGGTCTCGCCAAGTTGCCCAGGCGGGTCTCCAACCCGTGGGCTCAGGCAATCCACTCAGCCTCCCAAAGTGTTGGGATTACAGGCTGAGCCGCCGAGCCTGGTATAAAGTTTAACTTATAAATTAGGCACAGTAAAAGATTAACAATAATAGCTAATAATAAAAAATAGAACAATTATAATGATATGCCAGCATCACTACTCTTGTGGTTTGGGGCCATTATTAAGTAAAGCAAGGTTTACTTGAACACAGGCACTATGACAGTCGATCCAATAACCTAGACAGCTGCTAAGTGACTAACAGGCAGGTAGCATAGACAGTGTGAAGTGAATAGGCTGATCCACATACAGAACATGACAGAGAAGGACAGGTGAGATTTCATAATGCTATTCAGAATGGTGTGCAATTTTAAACATATAAGTTGTTTATTCCTGAAAATTTCTAGTATCTTTGGACCTCAGTTGACCACCAGTAACTGAAAATGTGGAAAGCAAAGCCAAGGATAAAAGGGAACTATACTGTACCTTGTTGCAGGTAGAGTGGGCAAGAAGCTGGGGCTGGAAGGCCACCTGGAGTGCTGGGGGTACCAGGCGAAGAAAGGGGAGAATGGCAGATACCAAAGAGGGGGCAAGGAGATACTGGCATAGCAGATCAAGGATTCAAATCTAGGCAGTCTGGCTCGAGTCTGTGCTTGTAACCACTGTGCAGCCCTGAAGCAAGGCTGGTCCACCTCAGAGACATCTTCCCCCATTTGCTAGTATCTACGAGACCAGGTGGGCAAGCCGGGAAGAGATGTTGCTGAATGTAGTAACAACTGGTGACCTCTAGTTGTTTTCTCCTCGCTTTTCATTTCCTCTGTAACTGGGGCAGAAAGAGCCTCAAGGTGCAGCTCGGCTGTGCCTAGCTTAAGCACAGAGTGAGGAGTGGGGAAGAAACCTCTTTCTGAGGCAGCCACAGGCCCTAGAAGAGCAGCCCTAGGTCTGGGGAGTGGGGGCCACTCACCGAAACACTGAATGCCGTCCAGAGCTACCTGTGTGGCGCACTCGGCCGCGTAGAGAATCACACCCGCGCAGTCCTATGGGAGGAAGTTCGGGTCGGCAGGGCCCTGCCAGGCATGCAGGTTGGGAGACCCAGCAGCTGGCCTACCAGTCTCTCCCTCTTCTGGGCTGGCCCTCACCTTGGGAGTGCAGTGGCCATCATCACAGGCCTTGGCGACATTGTAGACATACTGCCGACATGCCATGAGACGGGTGTACATGTCAGCCATCTTCCCCTGCATCAGCTGGTCACAAAGGGAGGTCACAGGTCAACGTGTTGGAACACTCTTTCCAGTTACCAAAAGCAAGTGAGCAATGGCAATGACAGCCAGGAATGGGGAAGCTGGGGCACAGAGAGATGAGACTTGTCCAGGATGACAGAGAAGGAAGCAGGTCTGGGAGTTAAGGCCAGAGAACAGCCATTCCCCTGTGGACACCGTACTCTGAAATAGCCATCGCTGTCTCTGAAAGGCACTGCCCCTAAGGCACCATCTACCATAACCCTAATTACCTTCCAGCAGCTTCTTCAGATGAGAAGGTCTGACTAGAAATGCTGTCCCTTTTCCCTATGCTCCCCATAACCTGCACGCCTTGCCCTTGAACCTTACAATGCCATTTATTCATCTCAAACAGGAATTGAGGTGGCAATGAGATAAACTTCCTGACAACTTCCAAAGCCAGGTCGCATGCCGAGGAAAGCTGCATTCTAAGCAGGCAAGTTAATTTTGCTAGAAAGGAATGGGAAAGGTCCACAGCACACGCTCTGCCTCCTCATTCTTGAAAGAAAACCCGAATCCAATGAAAGAGTCAGCAAAAGCAGTCCACTTACCTGGAAGTGGCCAATCTTCTGGCCAAAGGCTTCCCTCACATGCAGGTAGGGAATGGTATGGTCCAGGACGGCTTGCATAATCCTGCCGGAAAGGAGAAGGGCCCTGTGGAGGTGGCTCACTGTCCCACACTGCCAGGTGGGGTAGCAAAATGCCAGTGTGGAAAGGCCTGGAGGGAAAGCTTGGCAAGATAAGGAGATGAAGCCCCAGGGAGCAAAGGAGCCTCAGAAACTCGTCACCCCTGCCTAGTTCCAGCACTGCTAGTACCATACTCATACCCCTTCTTCCAAGAACAGAGGTGGGACTGGCAGGACCTCTGGGGGCATTGGAGCCCAAGCATCTTGTTTCATAGCCGGAAGAAGCAATACTGCTCCTCAGGCCTTTGGTCTGTCACTTAATGACTGACTTCCCTTCTGTTTGACGAGATTCAACATTGGGAGGAGGAGGTTCTTTTTGTCTCCATGAGAGGGCAGTGGTCTCTAGTTCCCTTTGCCCCCCCTTAAGGGGAAGGCTGCTGCTACTGCTGGACCACCTACCAAGGAGGCGGACAGAGCCCAGTGCCCCCTGACGACTCACACTTACCCGAGGGGCCCCCCAGCCAGCACCAGCCGCTCCAGGTCCAGCCCACTCATCAGCACGTAGACGCCCTTACTCTTATGGCCCAGGATGTTGGCAGCTGCCAGGAGAAGTGCTGGTCAGAGGAGAGGGCTGTCCACAGCCTCCTCGCTTTTATCACATGTACCAGGTTTGGTAACATGGCTCTCAAACAAGGTACTAGAATATGTCACTTGACCTTCAATTAGGGTTCCACGTGAGAAAAAAGGATCGAGTTGACCCCTTCCAGTCAGAAGTGGAGCTGCCAGGACCCCCACACTATCTGCAAGACCAGACACAAAGCCCTGAGTTGTCAGATCTCTCCTTTCTCTCTCTCAACTCCCTTGGATGGGAAGGAAGATAAGCTAATTAATTGGTCTAGAAGTCACCCAACCCCTCCTTGCTTCTTTCTACACAGGCACCTACAAAGAAACTGGAAAATTACTCTTTTCACCAGGTGGAGGCTGCTCTGGTCCAATGTCACCTCCCTGCAGGGTGGTCCATGAAATCTTCTTTGTCCAGGAGATGAGCCATTCAGAGCCAGTGACAGAAGCCACTGGGCACCTCTCCACCCAGTAAGCTAGGTCACTGGATGGCCTTGGGAGGTATAGGCAGGAAAATCAAGTACAAAAAGTTGACACCACTCACCTGCCTTTAAGGTTGGCTGAATTTTTCCCTGTCAGCAAAGAAGGATCTGCATGGACCCCTCTCCCTGAAAGCTCCTTGTAATCAAAGCATACTTTTCTGGGCTGACGGATCATGAGCAACAGGCATGGTATGTGGCTGAGACAAGAGCAAGCCTAACTGATGATCAAATCCATGCCCTCAGTCTCACTGGCACATGATAGGTGTGCTGCTCTCCCACGCCACGCTGTGCCACATTTTCAGTTACTGCTCAGGGGAGAAAATACTCATCATACTCAAACTGAACTGCCTTCTTTTCATTGAGTCTGGCTTCCACCAATTTACTCAGACTTTTTTTTCCTCTTAGCACCATTAATAAGTAACTCACACAGGCCGTGCAAGTCAATGTTATAGGAAGGCTGAAGGACATCATTGGACCAGGGAAGGCCTGACCTCCTTCAGTTTCTGGAATACAAACCCCAGGGACAGTGTGTTCTGCCAGTCAGGCCTACAGTGCAGGAGCTCTGGCTAGCACAGACAGCTGTCCAGCAGACCCAGGCCCACAGTCTAGCGACATGCCACATGCCATCATTGAAGAGCTAACAACAGTGAGCCTCTCTAGTCAAAAGACAGCCAGGTTTTCTCAGCTGGAGAATAGCCAGATCAACTTGTGAAGGGGTCAAGACAGGGGCTCCCCTGTTCTCAGAGACACTTACCGGGAACCTTGCAGTCTTCAAAGATTAACTCACAGGTGTTAGAGCCCCTCATCCCCAGCTTGTCCAGCTTCTGGGAGGTGCTGAAGCCAGGCGTACCCTTTGCAGGAAACAAAAAGTGGCCTTGATTACAGACTAGCCACAAGGAATCCCAGGAAAGGTGTCCACCTTCCCATCAAATCCCTGCACCTGCAGGGCATACCAGCATCTGAGTCTCATGCCCCACCTGGGCCCTCTGGCGCTAACACCCCGCCCTGATCCCAGCCTCCTCTTCGGCTAGTTGTGCTCTCCCCAGTTCTCACAGGAGTTCTTTCTCAAGGATATGCCCAGTCCTCTGAGCCCCCAAACCCTGCCTGGCCTCCCTTCCCTATCCCAGGGAATAGCACTTCTAAGATACTCTCAACTGCCCACTCAATTCTTTTTTTTTTTGAAAGCAGGATTTTTTTGAGAGGACACAGAAAAGCTCCCAGAGGGGAGGGGACCCAAAAAGGTTGCCCAATTATTTTGCCCCATTGTTCTGCTGTCTGTACCCAATGAGATCCCTCCAGGGATGAACTGAACAACTTGTGTACTTTAATCCAAACTACTCAGACCAGCAGGTACTGGTGAGTGCACAGCACAGTGCCAGTGTGTGTCGCTTTCCACACCCACAGCTGAGGGTGGCATTCTACAGTCTTGGTATTTATTATTATTATTATTATATTTTTAGTTGGAGTCTCACTCTGTCACCCAGACTGGAGTGCAGTGGCCACTCCCGGCCACCGCAGCCTCAACCTGCCGGGCTCCGGTGATCCTCCGCCTCAG